CAATAGGCGGATTCATGCTGACGTCATTGTTTACATTTTTGCTCATTTGCATACGGCTTTGCGTAAAGAAGGAAGCATGTTAGATACAAATTGACTTCAGGCAGCTAAAGAGCTAGAAAACCTTAGTACATGGTGAAATTTTTAGCTCTTTGGGTGTAATATTCAAGGAGAAATAGTCCATCAAAAACTGCAAAATTTCTGGGTGGCAAAAGCGCTAATGAGCTCATACATTCTATGTAAAATTTTGAGTTTTTAAACCCGTGTTGCACAAAAAGTATTCAATGCATCGGGCTCGTATTCATTGGCCGAGTTAATCGTACTTTGACCTTTCGATATTCAGAACTGATTTATAGTTAGCTCCATCAGAAACTGAATTGCGTATGCTAATGAGTCAAATATTGTAAACAAGGATTCCCCTATATCTTAATGTGAAATTCTTCCAGATCTATTCGAGTGTTGTTTTACATTAATATTTATAACTAATGTTCCCGGTATTGCCTGTGGGATGAACGGGCGAAGATACAACCACTGGTAATCCAGGCTCACTCTTTGTGTCACGTACACAATTCGTTAAATAGAGAGAAAATATGGGGCGAAGTTTAGGTCTGGAAAATTTGCTTGAAAATGGAAACAAAGATCAATGAAACTTACCATGTAGCGATTTGTTGTTGTCCTCAATATGTACACGAAGTTTCTGGAAAAATTATTTTGAAGAAGAAACCTTTCTCATTTTCTTAAGCACCCAAAATGCACCAGATTGCGTCTCAGAGCACTCAAATTTTCAAAATTTCCCGGGGGGGCATGCCCCCGGACCCCCTTAGTTGTTCACGCCTTCGGCACTCAGGTTGGGCGCTATGCGCCCAAATTGTCTCCGCCTGCTTCCCTTTCATCGACTTCAACTTTCTTTGAAAAGGAAAACCCTGAGTAGAAGCGAAGGACTCGCGTCATAGTTTCGAGTCTTTGTTTCCTCGATAACTTTTGGCCTCAAATCGTTCACTTTTAGTACGTTCGATTCTTCTCGATTGTTTCTATATACAGTGAGTTCACATAATTATTTATGTCATCTTCAAAACATGGACGCAAAACGTAGAGTACGGGTCGAAGAACTCGGCAACCTTTGCACGCTTCTGTTGAGACTGCAATCGGGCAGGCCAGCGGATTTTATTTATGAGCCAGTGACAATCCCAAAATATCCACGTGATCATACTCGTGATCGGAAACAAAAAAAATTGCGTTTGGCGCTCAGCTTTGAAAGAAACTTTTCATCGGTTGATCGCTCGTGCTCGTGATTTGCTTATTAATACAAGGTCTCTAAAGATGGGTTTTTACGATGGCCTAGTAGGGTCACAGTCCAGTTTTATTTTTTGACTGTCCAGTTTTAATTTTTTACAGTCCATTTTTTTTTTTTTTGACAGTCCTGTTTTATTTTTTTTGACAGTCCCGTTTTATTTTTTTGGACAGTCTCGTTTTAATTATTGACAGTCCAGTTATATTTTTTTTGACAGTCCAGTTTTATTTTTTGGCAGTACAGTTTTGTTTTTTGGGTCACAGTCCAGTTTTATTTTTTGACAGTCCAGTTTTATTTTTTGGATCGCAGTCCAGTTTTAGTTTTTGACAGTCCAGTTTTATTTTTTGAGTACTCACCAGATCTCTCTCGATGTGTCGCATGTTCCACGTGTTGTTTGTTTGGCGGCCATTTTGTACGATGGACGCTATTGTAAGACAAATTGTGCGGGAGGCGCTCCAATTCTATTGAATCAGAAACAGTGTCTTCTGTTAGCCAACATAATAGTGGCCAAATTGAAGAAGGTGTAACGTTATTGTCACGCAATCGCTTGTTGTCATGTGACTCGAGTTAGCCAATCAAGTTGGTCTAGCCTCGTGCTAGGATTCGCTTGCAAAGTAAGTTCTTCGTTCTATTAAACGTTAAGATTCCAACTACCTTGTGATAGTGTATTTCACTGGAATCCCAACACAAGGGTCGGTCTCGGCGGGATCGACACCGAATACATTTTCATCGCGAACGTTCAACCGACTATCTGGTCTTCTGAACCGAATTCGGCATGGCAGTAGTGGCAAAAGCAGTTCAAACAAGAAGCGGAAAATTGAAAAGCAACATAGGTTACAAGTAAGATGGATGAATTATGACCAAACTAAGAAAAAGTTTGTTACTGTTCGTCAAAAGAATGGCGGTGGCAATCGCTTAATAACATATACTGATGCAGATCCACTAAAGATGAAAGAGCTTGTGGAGAGGGCGTGTGCGTTATTTTTCCCGGGTGGAAAGAACAGTTTTGCTGGTCATATAGACGAAATGAACAAATGGATCTGTGACACAACGTGGGTGGCAATTTTCGATTTTCCTGGCAAAGAAACTGTGGAAGACTACCTGAAGAGTAATGAATTGTATCCTTCCTCCACTTATTTTTACCTACGCACCCAACCACGACATCTTATGGGTGATGAATTTGAAGACAGCAATTACGTTGAGGGCGGCGACGAACACAGAAAACACGTCATCCACAAAAGTAAGTTCTGTCACAGTATCAGTAACGGCATGCACTACTAAATCTGATGATAGGGAGGTGTGCAATGTCTGTAGCTGTTCTTTTGAGAAAGGACAAAACTGTGTCCGTTGTGAGCAGGACCTCGAGTACCAGCAAAGTCTCATGGCCGATTCAGTTGACACTGAACAACCTGAAGAGTTTCAGCCCGAAAGCATTCATGCAAATGATCAGTTGACTTCCTTTATTAGTCCAGTGTCTGTGCATGAAATGAGAGAGCTCCGTTTGGCCCATTTTCAACGAGACACCTGTCATCCAACTGTGCAAAGTCAAGATAATCAAGATCAAAGGCTTGTTTCACCAAGTGAGGACGAAGTGTCCCCTAGCACTGTGGACGGGCCTTGTGGAGTGCTTGAAGAGGGAGGTTATGTCCAATTACCTACAGTTGGTATGGCAAGAGAATCAGCTGAATGCATAGTTTCAGAAAATGGTGAAATTGCCGGGCAGGGGCTTTCACTAACAGTTCATCGTTCATGTATTTGTAAAGATATGATTGAGCATTTTAAAGATGAGAAAATGTTGCAATCTGAGTTAGTGTTTACAATTATCAATGAGAGGGGGCAAAAAGAAGAGGGTGTGGGTATTGGAGTTTCAAGAGAAGCTTTCTCTTTATTCTGGAAGGAGTTTGCAAATAGCATGACAATAGGGGAAAGAGAAAGAGTACCCTTTGTGAGGCATGATCATTTCATTAAGAAGTGGGGAGCTATTGGTCGAATTTTGATGAAGGGGTTTAGATCAGTTTCCTACTTCCCTTTGTTCTTATCAGAGGCTTTCATGTGCTACTGCCTGTTTGATGCAGAAGTTCCTGAAGGCATTGTTCTTGAGTCTTTCATGAAATACTTGTCTCTTTTCGAAGAAGAGCTGGTTACAAATTTTCTTGGAAAAGCTGACTTTGCAGATGAAAATGATGATTTGTTTGATTTCCTAGAGAGATTCAATTGTAGGTCACAGGTCAGTCCAGAGAATATCAAGAAAGTGCTTGTAGAGATTGCCAATCAGGAGCTGTTACAGAAGCCTCATGTCATGGTTGCCACCTGGCACCCTATTGTCCAAGGGCTGAAACAGTATCCACAGTTTCAGACTATTGCAGGTATCCAAGGCTTTTATGATAGAATTAATCCAACAAACAAGAAAGTTCTTAATTCACTTGAAGCACAGCCAAACACTGAAGCAGAATGAGATGCGCTAAAATTTCTGCAAAGATACATACGAGGATTACACAATGCAAAACTAATCCAGTTCTTAAGGTTCACAACAGCTTCTGATGTCTTAATTACCAACAAGATTGAAGTCTCCTTTACCAGACTGGAAGGTGCTAGTTCCAGACCTATAGCTCACACGTGTGGGCCGTAGCAAGAAAAAGCACGCTGCAGTTCCCGCTGTGGAAACCCGGGTAGCGGTACAAAAGTTCAAGCACAAGAGAGCCATAAATGAGCGGAATGCTGCGGCAGCTATTTAAAGTCTCCAGTAGAGGTGCAATTATCCTAGATGATGATAAGGTGGATGACTACAATGCTGTCTACCAAAAAGGGTCTTTTGTTTTTCAGGGGAATTTTTTTCCTCAGGGATAATATCATTGACATGACTTACAAACTTGACAGCAAGAATGCCATTGTGTATGCAAACACAGTGAGATCCATATGTGGAGATTTAAAGCAAATAAAAAGGCGCAAAAATATTCTATTTCAGCTTTTGCCTATTCAGCATGAGGAGATAATGTCATCTTTTTAAAACAATATTTCAATTCCTGTAGATAAACATTAATTTTAAAGTATTTTTCAGCAAAATTTCAAAACATGACACCCGCAATGCATTATGGGTATTACGAAAATGTGTTTTTCTAATGAATTATCTATGAAAATTGATCAAAAAATTATTTTGTATGAAGTACTTCGATATTGTGATCAATGAAAAATGGTTTTGTGAAAGTTGTAAAAATTTTGATATGTATGTTACTGTTACACTATTGTACCCTTGGATTCTGCAATTGATCTTTACGTTGAGGAAGGGAAACGCCTCAATGAATTTCATACTATCATATTGTGAGGGGACATTTTGTTTAGAACCTTGATTTTCTTCCTTGATTTGTACCTGGTTGTGTTAATTTTGGTTATAGTAGGAATTATTTGCCTGTTATTGACCAAATGACCTGATATTGTTGTGTTGTTTCCTCTGCAACCTTCACCCAAGGAAAGTTGCATGGCCCTGTGATGATGATGAATAAGGGCATTTATTTATCTGCTCTTGTTGTCTTAGCTCAATTGCCTACTTTTGGTTTGGCTCTTTGTTTGTTTTTTTTTTTACATATTTTGATTAAGGATTGGGAGGGTAACAATGCTAACCATGAAAAGAATCGACTGACTAAAGAATTTATTTCCCAAGTCAATCCTCGTCATTATGTCAGCTTTCTTTCAGTCCATACTCTGAAAAAAACAAACAAACAAGCAAACAAGACAGAACAAACATTGTTCTGAAGCATTGTTATTTTTTCTGCATGTGACAGGTTTTCAATCTTGAGATAGATAGCACTATTTGTAATCATACCATATGTGCTCCCTTATGTTCTTTGCGGTTCCCTTACTGTAATCATTAACACAAGAACAATGCCTCACATGTTGGGTTAAGTTTGCTCATCAATTAGGTAACTAAGAAGTATGTTATATATGTTCAGTTCACATTTGATTAACTGACCCAATTCATTTGCCTTGTTGTCCCTTTCCAGTTTATGTGACTATCACACACTACTTCAGTTAAAAATGATTTGCTGCCTTGAAAAGGCTTAAGCAAAGCAAAGCTTGAATGTTCAGGAGAGTTAGAGAGCGAGAACGTGAGGGCAGATGGCTTGGTGCCAGTTCTTTAGGATTTTGGTTATTAAGTTGTCAGTATGCGGTTGGACAGAATATTCCAAGATGTGTATGCTATTATTAAAGGATATTGAGATTTTTCAGTGTTTGCGTGTTGTTTTATTTTCATATCATAAGCATTCTGTTTTTAGAGAAAGAAGTGCAACAATAATATAACTCTTGGCAAAAGAGCAGCCCATGAAGACGTTTTTGAGATAGATTTACAGAGGAGAGATAATAGATACTTAAAAGTACCTCTCCTCTGTACGTCTATCCAATTACGACAGGTCAGTTGAACCAAGGAAGTCTGGAAACCTAGCACTGCATCAGAAAAGCTCATTTGTTATGTTAACCTGTTAATCTCTTGAATTAGTCGCAGATAGAGATCAAGTCCTTCGTTAACATCTTGTGGTAAGCTCAGTCCAAGAACATTCATAACTATTAAAGCAAACTCCTCAAACTCTTCACTAAAATCAGCAGAACACATGGTTGAATTATCATTTAACTCTTCTAGTTCATGGAGATCAATGTCTTTGAAGTCCTCTGTGTTGTAGAGGTGGGGCAGGAAATACATGCAGTCAGGTTTTCCTCTAGGACCAGTACTGTTACCAAATCTGCTTGATGCTATTTGATGTTGATTCCACATTTCAGCAACTTGATAAAGCTCTTGTCTGAATATATTCATGAAGCAAAATCGAATACAATCCTGGTGAACAGTGTCAAAGCCATTAAATAGGCCCAAGACTGACAAATCTTTGAAAAAATTTATCCACCAACCAGGGCCATCTTTTACAAGTTGGGACCAATAGGCTTCAATTATTTGGTTTGCTGTTGTTCTGCCAATGACAAAGCATCTCTCACCGGCATTATCATCATTGTGTGAAGACCTAAGGTAAGTATGGATTGCCTCAATGACACTGTTTTCAGTTCCATCATCCGATCTGATCTTTCTTGGTACGCCACCTGACTGCTTTACAGCGTCCAAATAGTATTTTGCAATCACTTCTGGGTTTTTGTTTGTGGAGCCCACCTCCAGCCAAATAAGCCTTCTTGAAAAGCCATCGATACATCCATGCACGCTGAAGCCATAGGGCTTTAATTTATCGTGGCCATCGATATGCCATATGAAATTCGGTCCTTTCGAGTGGTAAGCCCTTCGACGCAGCCTCTTTTTTCGTCTGCTATTCACGCCATCAGGATCGAGTTCTCTGAGACACCTCATGACGGTTGCTCTTTTAACAATAACCCCCTTCTTTCTGAGCCTGGACCACATCTTACGGTATCCCACAAAACAACCACTTTTCCCAAGTTCCTTCTCGATGGCATTCTTCAGTTGATCATCAGATATGGTGGATCTTCTCGACAGGGCTAAGGATCGAAGACGTCTTTTCAGGGTTGATAAACTGATAGCTATGTCGTGGAGTTTCAAAAATTCAAGTATTTCCAGATTGCTGTAGCCCTGTTTGAAGTACTGTGATATAAGTTCCAGCGGTATATGTTGGTAACGGCATTTTGTACTTTGTACTTTGGAATCAAAATGGCGGAAAATTAAAATTCCCGCCTTTTGAGTGAACAGTAGATGAGGGTTTAATCGAGGGAGATCTGGTGACTACTCAAAAAATAAAACTGTACTGTGACCCAAATAATTAAAACTGGACTGTCAAAAAATAAAACTGGACTGTGACCCAAAAAATAAAACTGGACTGTCAAAAAAATAAAACTGGACTGTCAAAAAATAAAACTGGACTGTCAAAACAAATAAAACTGGACTGCCAAAAAATAAAACTGGACTGTCACCAAAAATTAAAACTGGACTGTGACCCTACGGGGCCATCGTAGGTTTTACTGTTGTTCAATGGGAAAACGAGAACAGCGTCAGTGGTGCAAAGGGAGAGGAAGTCGTTAGCGCCGTGGAGTTAAAAGAAGGGACAACAGTTTACATATTGATTGGCTAGTACAAGGGTCAAACGGCCATTTATAAAGCTTCGATTTTGAAAGTTTGTGGTGAGTACAAATTGTGGTATTCGGTACGTGATTAAAACTGAGAATCGAATCGGTCACTTGCATGCCACAATTTCTTAAGCTTACGATTTACGATGAAATAAATCTATCAACAAGCTGAAGGTTTCAGGATTACTTTAGTCACGTTTGACAAGCTGCGAGCCCAGCAAAAAAAGGCAAACAGCTGTTTAGTCTACAGTTTAGGATAACTTTATTACAATTTATTGTTAGTTACAACAAGATTGTAATTAAAAAATCAATTATTCAACTGTAATTAAGCCCTTCAATCCCAAGAGTGTTAAGTCAAAATTGAGTAGAAATCTTTGAATTTCAATTTGCAGAATCAACAGAAACAAACATTATTATAACATGAAAGTTAACTGTTGCTTGACAGCTTACGTTTGAATTTTAGCACACAAGAGTTTTATTGTATTACAAGCATACAGCTACATATAAACTGTAGTATAGTCTTTGGCACAATTGCAAGTGAAGAGGAGACTTTTTCATTCCAAATTCATGGGCTCTCCAAGGAATTTTCGTGGTGCTTGCATATTCCCAAGAACCCCATGAAAAATAACTGGCTATTAACTTTCATGTGCCATGAAAATGCCATGAAGAGGACATGAAAATTCAGGGAAAATTTTCATGGTCGATTAAATTTTTACATATTCACAGGATATTCATGGGTCATGATTTCCTACAACCCATTAAAACTTAGTGAATTTTAACACCATGAATTTTTTTCACATGAAATTCATCGGTTTTTCAGTACCTTTGAAAAGGCCTGAAATACCGTTTTCATGGGTATTTCATGGCCTTTTCAGTACGTTTGAAAAGGCCATGAAATGCCATTTTCATGGGTATTTTATGGTTTCTAGGTCACTTTACACAATGTTTCATGGGTCGTGAATATGCAAATTTTCACAGGGTTTTTCATGGGATTTTTCATGTCTTTTTCATGTCCTTTTCATGGGACTGAGACCATGAAAAAGCCATTGAACCATGAAAATCCTGTGAAAAATCTGTGAATTTACCACGAATAAATTCACAAGATTTTCATGGGTTTTGATTTCATAGTGAATGCAATTCAAGACTTTTTATTGGCCGAGCCATTATGGTATATGAGCCAATATACCATAATCTACAAATATGGTAAGCGTACGCGTCAGCTTAAAGTTAAAATGGAGCTAAAAAATTTAAGATTTGGTAAGATATGTCGAATATCTTGGGGGCGTTTTTAATAAAACAATTATTCCACTCACTCTTGTTGGATATAAGATGATTATAGCCAACTTGGTGCTATGCGCCTCGTTGGTTATCTATCATCTCCTTTCCAATGCGCGCTCCTGGAATAATTGTTAATTATTCTTAAAAACTGATTAGATAATTATTACCAGTATCCTAAACCAAGGGCTTACACGTTTGATGGAAATTTGTATGATTGATTGAGATTGAAAAACTAAGTAGTCCTTATTAAAGTGCACCTGACCCCTAAATTTTTTTTTCTCTTAAAAAAATCTTCATGCTTTGGTCAGTATTTCTTGGAAAACATTTTTGGATTTGGTTAAATCCTCAATTTTTTATGCATTACATGTGTTGGAACGATTGCTTCTGGCGCTATTATGTATGTATTTCTTGGATGATTCTTCTGCTAACATAAATTTGCTGAACTTTAGGTGCAAGTGTGGAAATTGCAACGTCGCTTTGTTACAAAACATCAGTTGTTGTGAACTGGAAGGCTGCGAAGAATCGATTAAGAGTGACCTTGTCATACAAGATCTTTCCCCTGATGTTAACCTGACCTGTATCACTGAACACCCAGGATTTCATCTCGTTTGTCTTTAGAAGTGGAGTCTGAGATTAACTGCGGACAAGTTCAAAACCAAAGGGAAGGAAAGGTATCGGCAGATGGGAAGCGAAGAAAGGTTAGCAATATTTACTGCTGGTTGGTGTGATTCCTTTTGGAGTTTACCAAAACATATCGCACCTAGATTTTCAAGTTATGAAGTTCGAAATAGTCTCGTTTGAAAACTGACGCATAAAAAATATCCCAATGTCTGAAAAGTGGCTTTTGTCGTCTGTCGATTGACTTTGTTGAGAGTCTACGGGGAAACCACCACAGGAATCCCACGACAGATGGCGAAGGTTGCATAAGATCCTGCTAAGGTCTACCTCTCTCTTTGATCTCTAGCAGTTTCTTACGAAGTGTTGCATATGGAGAGTTTTCTAGACTGGTGTGTGGGCTTCTGGGAAAGAAACGGGCTCCCTTGCCGGCCTGTGCTTATACTGCAATTAGAAAAGCATTCCCTGTCAGTAAGGAGGATGAATTCACAGGCTTTGACCTTGATGAGGAAAACTTGCTGTGCCATTTTACTTGTTTCACAATGAACATGATACACTCTTCCAAAAGGAGGATGAATTCATAGGCTTTGACATTGATGAGGAAAACTAGCTGTGCCATTTTACTCGTTCTTTAATGAACATGATACACTCTTACGATCTGTCATACAAGTACAGTAAGAAAACAACTTAACAAACTTTCAAATGCATTATTACAAAACATCAGCTGTGCGGCATATTTGCGACCAATATCAATCTAACCTTCCAAACATAACCAGTGAACTGGGCAAAATGGCGCAAAATACAGTTTGTTGGGTTCTCGAAGTGACGTCACATTAGTCGCCAGACTCTTGATCCTTGAAACGCGGCCGTGAGCCAAAATGGCTATGATTTTAATGCGATTTTCCGTACTTGAACGGGCCACAAAAGTTCAAGGATTTGACCAAATCCAAAATTTTTCGAAGAAATGCTCACCAAAGCATGAAGATTTTTTTAAGTGAAAAAAAAATTTAGGGGTCAGGTGCACTTTAAAGCACTGAAGGCTTTCTCAATGTTAAGTCTTGAGCCAATCAATGCTTATTTGTTGTTCAAAGTGAGTAATGTTTCATTTGTGGCTTTCCTAAAAAATGTAGTTTGTAGTATGGTAAACCAGAATAGTTTGCTTGCAAACTGTTTCTCCGGAGTAAGTTTGACTTTTAAGGTTGTTTGAGAAAGATGTAAACATTAAAGTTAATTAACCAGTTCAACAGAGCATACCCATTGAAGCACTGAAGACTTTCTCGATGGCACATCGAAGTTTGACAGCTGGCAAAATGGCACATCTTGCCAGTCAGTGCTTCTTTGGTGTTCGGAAGTGAGTAATGTTTCATTTGTGGCTTTCCTGAAATTGAAATTTCTAGTATGGGAAACCAGAATAGTTTGCATGCAAACTTTTTCACTGGAATAAGTTTGACTTTTAGGGTTAATTGAGATAGATAAACCTTGAAATTACTAGTTAACTGGAGCATATACCCATGGAAGCATATTGCATTGCAGTGTCATGGGGACTTGCATATTGGTCAATGCATATTGGAATTAAAAAGTTATATAACTTTGGTAGGGAGTGAGTCATTCTTGAGCCATTCTTCTGCCACTCTTGTGTCTGGTTTATTTCATTAGGGGCAGAATTTTTTGTACCAGAGTATCACCTGTTTTGTTTTGTTTTCTTATTGGGGTTGTGTTTCCATGCATTTCCCATAAATATCAATGCACTGATTGTGTATTTTACTGAAAAACTTAATTTATTGGTAGTTTACTGATGAATTATTATTGTTGTTGGGAGCTGTATTGATGAGTGTGACTTCTATATTTTAGGGAATGTGTAATTTGGGCATTAGTAAATGGTAGTAGCGTAACCCAGTGTTTTCTTAGAGGCAACACACAGGCTCCAAAAAAAAAAAAAAAAGGAAACAAAAACCAAAACACCCTACCAGTACTGCTCCTTGAGTTGTTGCAAAGGGGCTGCTCTTGATGTGACACACGAGTGCAGTGTAGCCCCATTTTTCTGGGTAATTACCGTAAGTGTCCACTTATTTTGCTCATTGGTGAAGGGGTTGGTGATTCATTTTGGCAAGGATTTTTTCCCTGAACCTCTTGGTGGGTCATTTTGGGTTGTTGTGTAACCCAATGTTTCCTATAGACCTGATATACTAAGGGTCCACCCATCAGTGTATTACACCTGAGTGATTTCCTAGAGCTGGTTCATCACTTATAGTGATGTGTCTGGTCTACAAGCATTGCTGTCAAATTTCTTTTAATGTTCTATCAAATTTTTCCAACCTTTGAATAAAAGAAATCATTGTTTCAACAACCAACCATGTGGTAAAGCAATGAGAAAAATCGCTGTAAGAGCTAACGTCACTATATCAAGGAAACCCAGTTCAGTTGAAAATATACCCATTTTAAGGGAGTAAAACCATCAAACATTTTTTAATTGTAGGTTGTCAAAGTGCCTTAAACTTACAATTGATCTTTTAAAGGATTTGCAGCCAGCCAGCCAGCATTATTGGGAAGCAATACAAGGTACATTTTGGATAGGAATTCATGGCCTAAAATTTTGTCTGCAAAATCTAGAGAAGAAATTTTTAAACTGTTTTCATATAGATCCTAATTGGAATTACAATAATTATGTTTCTCTGACATAGTCAGTAGAATTTGTTCATTGCCTACCCCGACGAAGGGCTAACGCTCGAAACGTCAGCTTTTGTAATCGTTATGGCCGCGGTGGCCAATTTACCATTTCAACTTTGTTGATATATCCAAATTATTTCGTTACCCCCACCGACGCAGCCCCAAACAGTTTCTTTCGAAACTATCAGCCTTTACCCCTAGTGTAGCCTGTACTTTCAGAGTCGAGGGCCAGACAGATTTTCATGCCATTAGTTTAATGAAGTATCTTAGAACGGTTGTGTGAAGTTCCCAATTTGTTGTGGCAGCAAACATGAAGTCAATGATAACATTTCATCCATAGAAAAATATGAGTAACTTTATTTATGCTCTGATGGCAAAAACGAGGAAAATTAGCACAAATTTTCATATTTGCATTCTTGAAAATAAGATCCAACACCACTGCAAATAACTGTTTTTGCCACATGTTTACTTGCATTTGCATTTAAAGCCAAACTGCTCTCATTGCAGAGAAAGCAAAGTTGAGCAAATCTATGTGAGAGTAATAGATTAAAATAAGTTGCAAATGTAAACAAAAGCTAAAGCAAACCAGTGTGCAATACTTACTCACAAATTCTAATCAAGCAAATGTGCGAGTTTACACTCACTTTACTCGCCAGTGCAATTTCAGTTCAAAAATGGTGCTCTAAATTTGCAATACATTTGCCCAGTTTGCAAACATGAGTAAATCCATTTATTTGTCCAGTGTCAGAGGACAACATAAGAGTGGACGAGCTTTGTATACCTCCAAGTTCAAAACAGCTACCATATTAGGTCAGTGACGTGTCCACAGCCCGTAACCATGGTTATAAAGATTGGGTTATGAAAGAAGAGAAAACTGCAAAAACCTTACTTACTTACTGGTGTCAGCCCCAAATTACATGGAGAATATATCTAACTTTCCGCCCAAAAGAAAGGTGTTTTCTCTATGAAAATGCACTAACGGATAACATGTTCCTTTTAAGAACACAATATTCAGTGGAGGCAGAAACTCTTCCCAGCAACACTGAGCATGCACACAATTACACTGATTATCCTGCCAAAAAATACAAAGAGCAGCGAGACCAGCGTTTTCGTTTTCAGTCCTAATTGGATCTTGTTCGCTACATCTCACCTGTATGGAGCAGTGGAAACATGACATTTTAACATGTAATCTAGATAGAACTAAGTTTCCATTATTGCTATCTCCATTCATTCATGGTATATTTTACAGGTTAGTAAGTGTATTTCACATTTTTTTACAAACTTCATATTTTTCCTTTTTTTATAGAAAATAGATGCTAATTAAAAAAATACAAAAGATAGTTAAATACAATAAAGAAGATGGTAGGATACAATTACTTTTTGTGTGCAAGCACCAACACTAATTGAGAATGAAAACAAAAATAAATGTCACGTTCGAAATAAATGAATATTGACTGCCTTTTGGTCTGGTTTCTCCCCTTTGATCTTTCCGGCTTGGTTGTACCTACCAGAGGCTCCCATGCCTCCGCCGGCTGAGTTCTAAGGATCATTGAAACGCACAAGCCCCTCCACCACGGCAAGGTGGCAGTCTATAAGAGGGGAGGAAGGGGGTAAAGGAGTAGGGGGTAAAACAGTAGGGGTAAAGGAGTAGGGGGTAAAAGAGTAGGGGGTAAAGGAGTAGAGGGTAAAGGAGTAGGGGTTTGCTCTTTTTTTACACCGTATGAACGGTTAGGAAACCATGTTCAACATGGTTTCATAATAACGAGCATCTTCAAATCAATTTCAAGGCAATTGAAGTATTTCTGTCAGAGATTCTTCAATGGATGACTGCATGGATCTGATAGTGGCTCCTTGTCGCTTTATGATAAAATCTTCATAGGCTTTCTAGTAACAAAATAAGAGATAACTGGTAACCATCATGCATCAAATATATATTGATTAAATTAGGAGTTTTTAAAAGGGTAGTCATAGTCGTTAATGATACTGACTTGTAATTGATTACATCTATTGAGGGAAATCTTACTTCTCGACAATATGCAAAGAGATGTTTCCTTCCGAACAACAGACTTTAGATTATGAAGCGTTTAGTTATCTTACACTTTGGAGAAGCTCACAACTTATTGAGAGACGGAATGGATGGAAATCGCGACAGCAGAAAGATATCAACTGTGAAAACCCAGAGTAATTACTAATTTACCCATACCATAATGGAAGTTTTCAACTCTTTTACAGCAGTACTAGTATTGTTCTTTCATGCAAATTGTATTTGTTAAGAAGCACTCCAAATAAATCTTACGACAAGCTTACAGCAAGAGATTATAGACTGGTTATAATCTCTAGCTCATAGTCATTCCTTTCCTTAAATTTCAACTTTTTGCGATTTATGAATCAGTGATAATTATAGCACTTGCGTAATGTTTCGTTTCAGTTTCCCACCACCTGCTTATGTTGCGGTTATCAATCGCCTGACTATCCACCTACACTATTTCGCAATTCTTTTCAGAAGGAATATGTTAATAACGTTCAGTTTCTGTCAGAAAATCCGATAAAGCGGCAAGCAAACATTAGTTTTAAGAATTGTTTTTATACTCAGAACAGTCAGTTTACTTACCAAACCACCATTCTGAAGGATCCATTCTGATAGCAACCCGCATGTCTCAGAATGGGAAAATGAATATACGAAATAATCCTCCTCTGTGACATAAACGTCTTCTGAATTTTGACTTCGAAAAGAAGAGGCATACAGCTCACCAATAATCACCAGTGCCATCGTAATGACAGGCCAGGAGAGTTGCAGACTGCGAATGACTTTATTCAAATCCAGCTCGAAGTTGCGAATATTGTGACAACTGAGTTGCCTTAGCCACCCACGGACTTCTGCTATCCCCTGTTTCTTCGAAAACAGAAACTTCACGATGTTGTTTGAATTATCAGGTCTCGTGCTAGTTCCTCGGCGGAAGCCATTGACAGATCTAAACTTCAGATATTCGCCCAAGATTACACCAACTGAGATCCTCATTTCCACTTTTACCAGCTCTCTCAGCAACTCGGAATGACCAATACGTGAGAGGAAATTGTTCAGCAGCGACATATTCATGAATGATAACTCATTCACTTGCACCAGAGACGCGATTATCTCAAACATGTCGCCATCGAACATCGAACCCGGAATAAGTCCCCGGCAGTTAAACCTCAATGCTGCACGATCTGAACTGCCTAAAGATCGGACAACGTGGATGACAAAATCTTTGAAAACAGGCGGATACTGATATTTCATCATGCTGAATTTAGAAATAACAGATAAATGGTTTCCACCGTCTGATGATTGCGAAAGCATGAAACTACGAGACACGGAAACTTTGTTTCGTTTTGATGTTACTATTTCTGGTTTCCAGACTATATATTTGTCTGGACATCCGGGCATTCAACAAGTACGTCATTCTATTTTTGGCTCAATTCCAACGTGCGTGAAATCACCAAAATTTGCATCGTCTGCGAACCGAAATCGCGGCGGCAAATTAATTTAATTTACATTTGGAACTCAACGCTACTTTTATGCGTTATGTTGAGTTTGAGGTCTGGCGCCCTATTAGACGGACTGCCGCCATTTTCGAAATTCTAACTAAAAAATAGAAACTCATTTTTTTAATCGACGTCTTACGTGGCGTTGCCGTCCTGACTGCTTAAAGTCCCTAATGATGTAATGATTCTAAAAATAGTTGTATTACAGATCCCTGGAATATTCTAGAACGTTTTTTGAAACATATATTAAGGAGTCGCGATCGGTTAAAATTAGCCTTTCCTTTAGAGCAGAGCCAGTGTATTGTGAAAGTGTGTTGTCGCGGAGTGTCAATAGAGTTACTGCTGTCGTGAAGAGCCCAGAGGAGCCAGTGTTATTATAGAGCCGGACTAGAGACCAGTTTCAGAGTAGGGCAAGTGCACGAACGAGTTCCTTTTGAAAACGTCCATTTTGCACGCAAGAATCGCTGCATTTCACGCGGTAGCTGTAAAACTAAGATATGCGAAACGTTTGAATACTTGTTTTTCCCATTTTTGGAGCAAAACTGCTACAAAAGGCGATCAGTCTCAGCCTTAGTGTCTTTTACTTACACTGTTACTCAATGATCACCATGCATGCTGGGTTGCACGCGTGAGTTTTCGGTCACATTGTACGCGGTGCACGCGGCAGAAAATGGCTCTGCACGCGCGAGATCTCGTCGAGTTCAGCCATACTCTGCAAACTGGACTAGAGAGAGTTGTTGCGGAATCACTTACCGTTACTGGAATCGTCAGCCGTGTGGAAGGCTACGTTAAGAAAGGTTTTGTTGACATCGATAAGCTACAAGGATCTCTTAAGAGAACTGTGAGTTGTGCAGTAGCACACTGAGATTATAGTTTTATAGAGGGCTCTAAGGGCCTGATTACGTGAGCCGAGCTAGCCCGGTTAGCCGGGCTGATTTCTTTTGTTTTCACGCTTTGGCGAACACCAAAACAAAAAAAATCAGCCCGGCTAACAGGGCCAGCCCGGTTCATGTAATCAGGCCCTAAGAGAAGAGGATAGTTATTGTACTGGTTATTGGTATCGCTCCGTAGTAAGATTATAACATCAGTCAATAAAGTAGTTGAGTTTGTACGGGTTGTATCTTTCTATCGGTGGTGAAAATACCGTAACACACCGTAAAGAATTTTAAAGCTGACGTTTCGAGCGTTGGCCCTTCATCAGAGCGAATGAAGACAGTGGAAGAAAGAGTGCCATCTAGTTTCATGATAATCTATCCCACTGGGGATAATAACATGTTTATGAAAGATCAAAGACAGCTCGATTACGAGAGGGCAGAATGGCAGCTGTAATCTTTAGTCATTCGGCTATCTTCCCATTTATTTTTTGTCCAGTTTAACATGACTTAGTCAAACCTTTGCTAACACTATCTTTAAAAAAAGGAAAAAAACCTTTCTTACTCTTTTTCGTTCGTCTAAAAAGAAGAGAAAATAAAGTTTATGCCAAGTGTTTTTTCATGAAATCCATCATCCTTCCTAGAGCCAAATCACAAATTTCCTTGGTGTAATTTGGGTTGGTAGGGTTGGTGAAAGCATGGCCAGTGTCATACATATAAAGCTCATACTTCACTCCTCCAGCATCCAGCTTCTCTGTCAAAGCTTTCACATCTTTTGGTGAAGAGAACCCCTCAAGATTATCCTTACTCCCAAAGTGAGCTTGCAAAGGTATCTTGATTTTCCCCAAATCACAAAGGTTTGCACTGGGGATGCCATAGAAAGGAGCTGCTGCTGCAATCTCTTCAGGAATCAATGCCGCAGCCGCCAGAGACAGAGCCCCACCCATGCAGAACCCTGTCACACCCACTTTCTTGCAACCTAAAGAGAAACAGAAATGAGTTAACCTGAGGTACTTGGTAAGCCCCTGCACTGGCAGAGTGTGGGGTTTCTCAGGCAGCCATGTTTTACCTCCAGGCAACTTGTAAAACTTTTTTTCATGAAAGCTTTTAAAGGCTAAGAACCCTAGATTTCTGGTGCTGGAGCCTTCATGCTATAAAAATGCAATAGTGGTGGCAAAATGCCATACTGCAGGCTAAAAAAAAAAGACAATTTAAGGTATAGGTCACAAGAAACAATTTAGCTGAGATGTGAACAAGGTGCAAACAAGGGAAAAGGGAAAATGTCCATGCAGATGAAAACTGAAAGTTATATTAATACCACTAACAATAATAACCCTTTATCACCCAATTCCCTAATTCAAATACAAAGATTGTCCTTCAAAAATTTTTCCTGGGAGATAGATAGTGAGAAATTTTGCAGAATTTACCCTTTTTCATGAGCACTCTGAATATATTGAATATGGGAATTAAAATTGAACATGGAAATTAAAATTTACCAACCCTTTTTAATAATTATTTGAACAGGTAAATTACTTAAGGACCCAAGGTGGCTAATAGAGATCAGGTGCTTTTTTGGTAAGGAGGAGTGGGTGGGAAGAGGGAAGTTGACATGGAGATCAAGAAAGAAGAGAGAACCTACTGGCCACTACACATAGAGGACAGAAAACCTTCTGAACTCAATAGTTCAGATTTGCATCAAGATTTGCCACCAATTCAGAGAGCCACCATTTTGAATTTCCTCTACTAAAATCAGTCCATGGTTGATCTTGTTTCTTAGCTGTTTTAACCACATGCAGCACCTCTGGATCATTAGATTGTAAGAGTAGTCATTGAAAACTATATATACTTTGATTTTTACTATGTTGTCAGAAGAATGTTCCAATTCATAGAAGTTCATAGAAGATACTCTTAATAGAGAGCTCTCAAGTCTGGTGCATTGAGTGTGAGACTCGTGCAAATTAATCCAATCTTACACTCTCACATTGCAACTACTATTTCTCACGCATTTAAGGTGTCTATTTTAACCTTTTGATTTTAGGATAACTAACTGTTTTTTTTTTTAGTTAAGTACATATGAATTTAATCATCTTTCTAGATATAACCTATTCCTTGTTCCCTTTGTGCTAACTTCAAACCCTTTCGATTAGAGTAAATAATTCTTGTGCAGAGCTGTCATTACATGGGTCAGTTGGGTCATCAACTATAGCACATGTTCACATGCCGATGGCTGAGACCGCTCAGAATAAAAGAATGCACATCTTAGCTACACTTGTTTTGGTTAATTTTCCATGGAGGCATTACACATGCAATAAAAAAATATGGATCACCATGCCCGTTTGGGAGCTAAAGACCATCGCACATCCTTGACTTGGTGCATTGATTGAAATACAATACTGTGTTCTTGGAATGTGAGCACACCTATTTGCCTGATTATGTGATTTTCATGTGCAATACAGGATGCCCAGTGCCATAGTGAGGAATCACTCTGACTTACCTCTTACAACCCAAGAGTA